ACTTCAATTATGTTTTTCATCATTATATTCCTTCCTCAACCTTAAGATTTACTTTTCCCAAATTGCTTTCCCTGTATCTGGGATACATACCATTCTGTTGATATAGAATATGGTATATGATAAGGGGAATGTGTGTCTGTTTTACTTTTCTAAAACCCAGGCAAGATTTGACCAAACAAATCACTAGGCCATTCAAAAATTGTACTTTCTTCCCTTTGAGTATATTCATATGGACACAGTAAGAAATCAATACTAAGGAAGAAATATTTTGCTCACCTATTTTTTTTCTTGAAAGTGCTGAAATATTTGGATTCCACTGTCTGCACTTTTTCATTTTGGCTAGAGTAATGAATCTGCCTAAAATATCCCATTCCTGAGAAAAATGTTCATACATTCACGGAAAGAAAATAAACTAAGAAACGTTGAATCTTGAAAAGGATAATACTTTACCTACTATTGCCACTTTCTCTGTTCACTTTTATAGGACTAATAGGTTGAATAAATATTGCTTCTAAGTCCCCTTTTCGTTTTTATTTTGTTTTTGGTTTCCAAAATCTCAATGCATGCAATAAGCACCTAACCTTATAGAGAAAAAAATAATATTTTTACTACTATACATTGGAACCTTTAGAAATTCTCACTTCATTTTGGTAACTGAATTCTCTTGACCCTGAACTTTTCTCTTCAAAACGAAGGGTCTTGGTTTACAGCCCTAACTTCTGATTCACTCACATATGTAATTTCCATTACCTTCAACAATTCTAAGGCAACCTAATCAATAGAGATAATCCAGGATTTTAAAAGACTATGCTAATTGCTTCAATTCCTTTTATACACTAAATCCGCCTTTATTTCACCCTTCCTTAAAAGAGAATGGTAATTTTTTCTTTAGGAATCAATAGACTTTCCCAGAGTCATTGAAGCTTCCAGAAAAGGCTGTCAGGTAAAATTTTTATTTTATCTTAACTTCTTTCCATATTCATTGATTCTACCAGCTCAAAGACAAAAAAAAAAAAAAGAAACTTGATCTGAAAAAAAAATTACATACAGCCACCAGAGCACAAAGTAATTAGTTAGCCACCTCTTGTACAAGCGGCTGGCCTGTTCTGGGTGCATAGGCGGTGTTCAGTCAAGCTTTGTTGATTGCTTGATTGATGTTTAAAAGGCAGGAGCCTGAAGGGAAATTCAAAAAATTCCTTATCACTGTATCCTTTCCAACTGTATGAAGAACATGATTTCCTATAAATCACTCTCAAAATATGTTGTCATTTTCATGTTTCAGAGAAAGGCAATTTGGGCCAGTTCTCTAGCAATTTGTGATGAAAATTTGACTGATGACAAAACAATTCAATAGCAAGTAGCATTCACAAACATTTAGGGGAGGTAGCTAGGGGGCAGCCCTATTACCAGGGAGATAACAGACACATAAGGATACCTAAGGTTAAGTCCTTGATTTCTAAGCATCTACGCACACAGGAGAGGAATAGTAGTATAAATAATCGTGAAATGTGCAGAGTTGTAAAGCAGGTATGGGCAGAGTAGAAGGACATGGAGAGCCAACAGCAGTGGAGGGAATTGAGTGGAGTGGCTAGGAGCAGAGGCTCTGACGTCAAACTGAGTTGGAAGGCCAGATGCAGGCGTCACTGTGACCTTACAAGCTACTTTGCCTCTCGGTGTCTCTGTTTCTACCTCTGTAACAGTTGATGGAGTCTTGGAGTACAAAAAAATATCTGGGAAAAAGGTGTCACAAGATCAGAAACTGGAGATGGGGGTAGAAAAGATGAGTATAGTTGTTAAGCCAGCTGAAGAAATAAAAAGTCCTTCGGCAGACTGCTATAGAAAAAGCGACTTTAGTAGAATGTATGCAGAGATGCAGACCAGATGTGGGCATCTGGAGGTGGGGGCCACAATAGAGACTCGCTGTTCATCACAAAATTAATCCAATCACACCCTGAAAATGATTAATTTAACAACAGATGACAATTCCATAAAGGAATAACCGCCCAAAGGACAATTTCTGCATGGGCAAAACGCATCTCCCCTGCCCGCCTGTGGCCACACAGGTGTTTTTCTTCACGAACCTTTTCCCTTTGCAAAACTGCAGCAACAGCTCTTCCTGCCTGTCTGTGTCTGTGCCAGCGTCTTCTCCTTTCCTTTGTTATAAATAATAAACCTGCTCTTTTGGATATAACCAAATGTCTTCGCCTCTGAAAGAGGAATTCTGGTGAAACTTTTCTCAGAGGTCACCCAAGGACCCCTTCTCTGAACCCAACACCTTGCCAAACCAGCTTCAAGATTGACTGGAAAAGTCGGGCAGCTTAAATTGTGGAAGGTTTGTGTATTATACACATATCGCAACTTTTGCTGCAATAAATGCTGTGTAACAAGCAACCGCCAGGGTCTTCATAGTTTATAATCTGTATTCATATTCTAACTAATAGCTGGGGCTGCTGAGATTTGACCTAGTTGGGTTGATTTTGTTCTTGGGACCGCACGGTTGGTTCAACTGGGCTTGGTTCCAGGTTGCAAGCAAGCGCTGCTCCGTAGCTCTCATTCTGGAAACTGTGGCTACGTGAAGGGAGTATGCGTTTCTGGGTATCCATTTCTCTTGACAATCACTGAAGCCAGAGAGGGGAAGCCTAATCATATGAGCACATTTTAAAATCTTCTCACATCACATCACATCATCCAAAATTTCATTTACCAATGTAAGTCGTGTGGGATGGGAAAGTACATGGTGTTTGCATGACGGCAGGCATTGCAAAGTCACAGGGAGAAAGCCTACATGTGCACACTTATGATTGGGAGAGAGTGGCAAATAAAGAACAATAATCCAATGCACATGTTGGGAAGTTTTTCATTCATTCTATCTTTTAAATAGATCCAAGAAAGACATTTATCATCGTGTGATTATTAAGAAATGACATGATAAAATCTAACTTTTGGAAAGTGCATCCTCGTGGCTAGGTGTATAAAATGGTATGGGGTCTTCCCTGGTGGCACAACGGGTTAAAGTGCAACACTATGAACACTATGAGGCAATCTGCACCCACTGCAGCACGAGTTCAATCCCTAACCAGGGAGGTGACCCGCATGGCGCAGCAGACCTGGCCACAGCTCCCCTCAGCAGTGTATTTCAGTCAATCTGCCTGTTCTGCTCCCCACTCTGTCTCTGGTGAACCCTCTCACCCCCTGCACCTCATGTATCCCAGTTCTTATATGCATAAATAAATCAGTCTTTCCAAATAAATAAATAAAATGGTGTATCTCCACTCCATGGCCACCATCTAAACAAGTGACCTCCCAAAGGCTCTATACTCTAATACAATTTCCTTGGGAGAGAGGGTTTTAACATAGGAACCTGGAGGAGACAAACAGTCAATCCCTGCAGAAGTGATCAAATTATGGGCATAATTTGCTGGATTTCTGTGTGAAATATAAGAAAAAAAAGAGTTATCAAAGATACTCCTAGGGTGTTTTACCCTGAGCAACTCAGATAGTTGTGTGACTAGCATGCAGGGAAATGGTAAACAAAATGCCCTCAAAAAAATTTTAAAGGCCCAATTTGTAGCACGTGTCATTCTCCTTGGTGTGACTACTTCCCTCATGACTGATTTCAAGCTATCAATGTGGCTTCACTGAGCAGATTTGAGAAGTGATGCTAACTTCTGAACACAGCACTTTGACAATATATCTTCAATATAATTCAAAAAGAGCTGCAGAATTTTTTGAGCTGCAGAATTTTTGAGCTGCAAATGAGAGCTTGATGAGTTTTTTTTTTTTTTTTGCTTTTCTTAATGGTGTGGGTTTGCAACTGTGAAACTCTAGTCTATGTAGTAGGATTGAGCAAATGAATAAATATTTCAGTGATAGTGGAGTCAGGTATATCGCTGTTGGAGAAGGGAGATGTACATATGGATTGAATGAAGACTAGGAAGGATAATTTGATGGTGAATTGGAATGAATTCCAACTCTTTCATAGCTTTATCAACTCTGGGGGGGGGGGAGGAACCACAGTAACATTGAGAGTACCTCACACCAAATTTTTGCTTCGAGGTACCATTTCCCACCAAATGGAATCAAGGCTCCTTGGATTAAATGTTTGATTCCAGGGCTAGGATGTAGAAAGTATAAGAGGAGCCAGAAAACATCAGTGGGGTTTCGGGGAGTGTGGATTTGTGCAAATGTGCTTGTGCATCAAAAAGCAAGGAAGTACTCAGAAAATTATGGTGGACAATAAATTTAACAATTCAACAGAATTTCCGTGGCCAGTCAAGGAGAAGTAGGTAATGGAGAACAAAGGTACTGCCAAAATGCTGGCCAAAATATTTCTTTCAATCTTCTTAAAGGCATCAACAAGGTGTGACAAGAGACTAATCTGAGAGGAAATTCAGACATCGATATTGGGCTGCTTTGTTCCAGCGGGGACAGGGTTCATCCTGACCCAGCAGCCGATACAGCGAGATATACTCTAACAGATTCTCAGGGCTTGGGGCCAAAAAGTCTAGGGCAGGTACCCTGATGAACAACTCTAGGAATCAAAAAAAAAAAAAGCTAAAAGCAAATCTACCATGAATTTGCAGGCCTGACTCAAACCATCCAAGTGGACCAGAAAGCTTCCTGCCCTAAAAGTGGATGGAGTGATTCTGAATTATTAGTACCTCACGCTCCTGGCAGTAGCAAAGAAAATTTTCTGTGAAGGGATCTAGGTCTTCTGATTCAATCGGAAGTGCCCATACGGGCCTCCAGTACCTTACTCTCACCTACCATTCCAGCAAATGTTCTTCATCTTCCCAGGACTCGCCCACACTGCCCATCCATCTTCATCCCCACCACTTCACCAAGTTCATACCTTCATGTCCTGGCCTCAAAGGCAAAATTAAGCTATTCTGCCTTTTTTTTCATTCATTTGTTCTTTGATTTGAGTACCTGTTACATGTGAGATGCCCATGCCCATCCTGTCTTATGTCTCAAGAGAGTCAACGTGCCATCTTCTCTACCTCTGCGTTCTTGGCGTCACTGACCTTGCATCCCGCACAGGGTAGGCGTCCATACGCCCTTGCTGACTTGAACAGTAACAGTTGGATAAACGTCAGAAATGAGATTAAAAGCTACAGATCCACTCTTCCAGCTTCCAGTTCTAATCAAATAAGGTTCTCTGGCTTTCTCCACCTTTGAAAAAGTTACTTTCAAGGTCAGGAATGAGGGGAGATTCTGCCCATTTTATTTTATGAGCAGGCACAAAGATTAGGCTTGCTTTTCCCTTTTTCCTTTCCCTAACATTGAGTTGATTGATGGAAGGGAGAGGAAAGTAATAAACCTTTATTCACAGAACTACCAAACCCTCTCTGGCTGCTGCCCGGAACCCTCTCTGGAGATAGATGGGGGCCATCGCCATTATGAAATGTACTGCAGAGGGGTGCCTCTCTAGGAACCCTCTGGTGTTCATCTATATATTGACTGCTTCTTGATAAAGATATCAGCCACTAGAGTGGCCTGTCATTAAGAAATCAGGCCACATACATATTTAACCATATGGTATCTTTTTTTCTTTTAAAGATTTATTTATTTGTGCTTACTGAACTGGGGTACAGGTCAGAGGTGCAGGGGCATTGAGAGGATTTACCAGAGACAGAGTGAGGAGCAGAACAGGCAGATCGACAAGGTACACTGCTGAGGGGAGCAGTGGGCGGGTCAGGAGAGGTCTGCCGCGCCATGTAGGTCAGCTCCGGGGCAGGCAGGGATGGAACTCATACAAAGTGGCTTTAGCTTCTTAGTGGTGTGCTTTAGCCCGCTGCGCCACCAGGGAGGGCCCTGTTCTTTATTTTGGCCCGTGACAACTGTCCGGGGCCCAGCTGACCGAGAGGGAAGCCAGAAGCTAGTAAGCAAGGAAGCTCTATGTGCACAGGTACCAGGCCCTCAGATTCCAAACACACTGCTGATGGAGGCTGGGCCTTGTTGCAGTTAGCTTCAGCTGCAGACCAAGCCTTCCTAGAGCTAAGTGTCTTAACAACCACCAACGGGTGTTCTTTCTCATTCTTCTGCGGGCTGCCTGGGTCATTTCCCTGATGACCCCCAGAGCTCACGCTCTGTCGGGGGCCAGCCTATGGCTTGGGGGGGGGGTATGGGAAGACTAAGATGGTCACACTCACTTATCTCACACCAGGGCAAAGAGGAAGACTTTGCCATGCATCCACATCTCATCCTCCAGCAGGCCAGCTCTGGCTCTTTGTAGAGCTCCCAGCGCAGCAAGACAGCAAGGCCTACTGCTTGGGCCCTCAGACCTCTGCTGGGTCACAAGTCAGCCCAGATGCAGAAGGTGGAGAAATAAAGGTCACCTCTGCATGGGAGAATCTTCAAGGCCACACTGAGCAGGCATACACTTACAGAGATGAGAAGAATCTGTGGCTGTTTTTTTCTTGCCTGAATAAACTCTCCGTAGCCACTCTCCCAGAAGGTAACAGCAGAAAAACAAGTGACTGGAAACAGAAGGCTGTCCTGACTGCCTGTCACGGAGGCCTCTCACACCCACCCTTTGTGGGGTTTGCCATGTGTTGCCTTGGAAAATGGTCAAAGCAAACACCTGGGTAGGAGAGAGAGAACATGCTGGACTGGGAAGGCTCTATGCAGGTCTACGTGTCTGTAGGTAGAATTGGGGTGGGGAGAGTGGCAGATAATGTGGGTGGCCCATTTCCTAAGAAGTAGACTGGGTTAGAAAAGTGACTTCGAGGATCCAAGCTGTAGCATAAGGCCTAGGCGTGTGCTTCCCAAGGCCTCAGCTCCTTCCTCCTTCCTGCCCACTGGTGAGGGGTATCAGGGTCACTCTGAAGCCACAATTCCTGGAAAAGTGGGCAGTGTGGTTTAGAAAGTAGTTGCTCACCCACAGAAACTTCATTTGATGAAAAGAGTAGCTTTAATATTTGACAATTTATTTAGAGGTAGTTTTGAGCATACAGAAGAGTTGTGAGAATAAGAATGGTACAAAGAACAGAAGGCCCCTTGTTGGAGTCACTTATTATTGACATCTTGATCTCATCTACTTTATCATTTGTTCTCTCTTTCTACCCAGTACTCTCAAGTGGTTTGATAGACAGACAGATAGATAGATAAATAGATAGATGATAGATAGATAAATAGATGATAGATAGATAGATAGATAGATAGATAGATAGATAGATAGATAGATAGATAGATAGATAGATAGATAGATAGATAGATATGTTATATCTATAGAGAGATAGATATAGATGCCATTTACTCTCTTTCTATTGAACCATTTGGGAGTAAAGTGCACTACATCATGGCTCTACACCTAAATACTCCAGAAGAGGATAGGGTTATTCTCAAACACGCTATGATTTCAAATTCAGCAAACAAACAACTGAAGAGGAAAGCTTCCTGGCTGTGAGAGCCCCACAGTGCTCTCAGCCAGGAAAACCCTTTCCCACCTGCTCTCTCCCGACAGCCTCCGTCTGGCCCCTTCTAGAAGTGTGACACATGCAGAAAGAAGAACAAGTAGCAGAGACAGGGAGAGAGTGAGCATTTAGTCTTAAGAGAAGAGAGGGAGGGAGGAGACATGAATGGCTGTTTCTGGGAAATCAAACATTTGCTTTTCATTTCAAACAGGTAAGGGGGGGAGAAAGCAGATAAGAAGGAAAGGGGGGATTTTGGAAGGCTTGGGGGGACACACCAAAGGCAAGCATATTCTTCTGGTTAAGTTGCCTAAGGCTGACTTTCAGGAAACCTTGGGTGGCTCTAGAAATTGAAGGCATCTCAGTGTACTCATTGAAACCAAATGTCTTTTCTCCTAAAAACATGTTCGATCGTTTGCCCCATTTTGAATGAACTGGACATGATATAAGTGGCCCAGGGGTTCTTAACTGTGCTCGCTGGCTCCTAGTGGTCAGGAAGGGGCCCCTAAGCTCCTCACAGTGCTTGGCTTCATGGTGACTTCAGATAGTAGGACAGGAGGGCTGGAGACAGCCAGTTATGCTAAGTATCTGAGTTACTAACCAAACTCAAGACTTCTTGAGAACATTGGACAGACTGTTTGCTTCCTTATGAAAACCACGGTTTACCAGGATAAGAAACTTTCCTTGATCTAGGACAAATTATGGGAGTAGCACATAGACCTAAACTCAAGTTCCTCATTTCTAAAATGTGGGTTATATTCTAAAGTAATGCTTCCCAGATTCTCTAATAAAAGGCACAAAAATAGATGACAGGCAAAGAATATTTGAAGCAGATTTTCATGAGCATGTGAGGAGGAACGTCAAATGAAAATAATGCATATTATTAAAGAAGTTTGTAAACTTTAAAGAAGCCTGTACACATACAACATCATTTTAAGAAAAAAATCAGTGACACAAAATCTCTACAATGGGTTCTCAGACAACAGTCTCTACTTTTCCAAGCTTCAGGTTGCCCATCTGTACATGGAAATAATGGTTTTTCCACATATATGTATTGCTGACATTGCATGAGTCAATGAGAAAAGTGTTGATCTTCCCTTTGCTGTGTAAATGGGCACTTATCAGGGCCCTCCCTGGTGGCACAACGGGTTAAAGTGCAGCACTATGAAGCAATCCAAAGCCACTGCAGCACCAGTTTGATTCCCAGCCAGGGAGCTGACCCACATGGCATGGCAGGCCTCTCCTGTCTCGCCCACTGCTCCCTTAGCAGTGTACTTTGTCAGTCTGCCTGTTCTGCTTCCCTCTCTGTGGTGAAGCCTCTCACTGCCCCTGCACCTCTGGCAGGTACCCCAGTTCTGTATGCATAAATAAATACATCTTTTAAAAATTAATTAGTTAATTTTAAAACAGACACTTATCAAACATCTAATAAGTTTAGCTATAGTTATTATCTTTATTGCTACATTATTACTGTATGATATATTTAGGCGATACAGTCCTATCTTCAGTTTTATGACACACTGGGAGAACCTTTCCCTAAAATGGAATTCTACATCACAGTTTATAAAAGTCTTCAAGTACATGTTGATCCCATTTAATGAAGGCATGCCTAAATTTCTTATAAAGTTCTCAGATAAATGGGCCCATAACTCTTCTAGAGGGAAAGATGTATCTGAATGTGTAGCTTTGATGCGTGATGCTATAAGAAGGGGTCTCACTGGACTTTGGGGGTTGACAAGATGGACTTTGATTAGGCCTAACATTCTGCTGAAGTGTCTGCAAATTTATGAGCAGAGGCATCCCAGTCCCACAGGGGTGTTTGCAGAATGGCAGCACCCTCACTTCCAGTGCCATGAGCCAGGACGCTTTCCAAAGGAGAAGAGTGGCCTCAAGCTGAACTAAATCAAAATAGACATTGCAGAATGGCCAGAAAAACTAAAATAGACCTTAGTAAATAACTGAGAGTAAAGGTTTAGGTAGAAGCCAATTTTTGCATGATATAAATGACATGAATGCTTAGTATTTTGTGGCAGAAAATAATGCAAATATCACATAATTTGTTGATTCTATCTGAAAGCAATTGCATTGTTACAACTTTGATTATTTCACAGGAAGAAACCATATATGTTTGTTTGGGAGCCTAGAACATACATATATTTAACTCTTCTGTATGAAAAGATAAAATAGCAAGTTGGTGAATTATCTGTAGTAAATATCATAACTGCAATAAATAATAACAGACCAAAAGTTGCTAAGTAGAACCCAGCAGTATAAATCAGCAATATGAGACACTTGTAGTTTGAAATGACATGACAAAAACATAATATCAAAATTGTCCATTTGCTAAGTTCTTGCAGAAGCCCGGGTGTTGCACAAAGTGTTTTTGTGTATCATCTCATTTAAAGCTTAAGATGAAATGTATATTACCCCACTTTACAGATGAGGACACTGAGGTGCTTAACATAATTTATTCCTCCCCCCTTCATAAATAGGCCACAATTTATAAATGCATGTTTATTTATTCTGGTATTAGATTGATAACAAATATGAAATTGCATGTGTACTTTTCTGGAACATCAACTATTACTGTTTCATTAAACTATTTTTCGTGAACAGCTGGGTACATAGCAATAAAAAGGTCATTGAACAAAGGAATAAATCTCAGAGAGATAAAAACTTTTCCCTGGTCACACAGGCTCAGGAAAACTTGCTGTGGGAACTTTTAACTGTTGAATTCACTGCACAACCATATTGGCTCGAAGATGGCTGCGGCAGCCATCTTGGACAGAGGTGGTATCAATAACATGATTGAACAACAAGATGGTGACTACAGTGAACAATCATATATACTTGAAAGTTACTAAAGGAGTAGAACTAGTAACTCTGTATGGCAGACATTTTCTAACATGAGAATTATGGACCTAACACCATTCACAAATGAATGCAACCTTCTGTTGTACATGAAACCTTGGATTCTGCTGCACACTGGATTTGTGTCTACAGGAAAGTATGTTACTAGACTCTGGTGATTGCTCTTACTTTCTGTTTTAGCCAGAACTGGAGTGTTCAAGGCTCCTACCTGCATTTCCACGTAAACAGAGTGTAGATTCTACTGCAACGGCAGAGAATCCATGTGTGCGTGGACTCAGAGAGCCACAGTTGAGAGAATACTTTAAAAGCAATCTCTAGTTTTCCAGATTAATAAACAGAGATCCAGAATTGTTATGAGGCTAATTTGAGGGGTGTCCAATAATTTTCCTTCTCTGCAATCCATACTTGCATCCCACGCCACCTCTTTTGGTAAGAAAAAGTCCCTATTCATGTTAGCTAAAAAGCCTTTGTACAATTGCACCAAATAATGGTTGTGTTAGCTGTAGGGCCACATGGAGTTGTGAGTCACCCACATCAATGTAAGTGACCCCGTTGGGATTTAGAACTGACCGAAACAGTCTACTAATTAAAACAAGGTGGATTGATGTTGCGGTCATTTGGAAAAGCATTTAATTTCACTTGCTGCCAACTTTCAGTTAAGAAGTATATACATGGCCCTCCCTGGTGGCACAATGGGTTAAAGCACCGCATTATGAAGCTCTCCAAAGCCACTGCAGCACGAGTTCAATCCCGGCCAGGGAGGTGACCCACATGGCGTGGCAGACCTCTCCTGACCCACCCTCTGCTCCCCTGTTCTGCTACCTACTCTGTCTCTGGTAAATCCTCTCCCCCACCACATCTCTGGCCTGTACTCCAGTTCTGTAAGCATAAATAAATAAATCTTTAAAAAAAAAAGTATATACATAATCACCGAAGACAGGATTAGCACTTAGTAGCTTTTCCAAGTATTTATATTACCACTTATTGGTGATTACCTCTTTGCATATTTATAAGAAAACAAATAAAATGCATTACTGTGCTATTAAGTCAAGTTTTGTTATAAAGGATTTAAATAAATTTCATAATTTAGCTTGCCCATTATGTTATTTTTTCTCCAGTTTCTGAATATAATTAATTAAAGCAGTAACGGGTCTCTGATCAAAGTTTATATTAATATTTAGATTATTAAAGTACTGAAAGAAAATTATTTCCCACCAACTACATTTTTACTTAGCTAATTAAATAATTTCTGCTTTATACTAGGAGAGAACTAGAAAATAACTTTGAGGTTTTTAATATGAGCAGCTCAGAGGACGAATTCACATAAGTAGCAATGCATTAACAATTGTGGAGATTATTTACAAAAAGGGTTGCAAGAACTTCTTTCCTCTCTACACCCATGAGCATTTCCCTCCCACGCTGACTCTGACTGGTGGCTTGTCCATGACACTGGTTTTGGTTAATGTACCAATAGCAAGTGTGACATCAGCAAAGACTTGCAAAGTACTTGCAAGTTGCTCTTGGGAGCAGTATAATTATGACCATGTGAATGAGCGCAGACTGGCCTGCAAGATGGGACCCACGGCCAAGTCATCCCCAACCTCACCTACCAAAAAGCCAATAGCCAGATATGTGAATGAGGGAAAAGCCAATCTCTGTCAAGCCTGCCGAGACCAGAACAGCCAGCCAGATAATAAGATGTTATAAGTATTTTTCTTAAAAAAAAAAAAATCTTTTAAACCACTGAGTTTTGGGATGGTTTGTAACAAAAGCTAAATGTTATAAAAGGTATCATCTTTAAGCACTTCCTTTACAAAGAGGAAATTAAATGATGTCTGGATTCATTCTTCCTTCCCATTCACAGAAGATTTTACTGAGTTGTATACACTTGGTCTCTACTTCCTTTCTCTTAAGTAGCCGTAATCTCTCTTGGATTTCTGCCTGTTGTCTCTTGCACCTGATTCTAGACTATCAAACTCCCCTGGCCACCTACTCCTGTCCCTTTTATTCTCCTCTCTGTTCCACTTCCTCTTCCCAGTCTCTAAGCCTTTGGATCTTCTCTATGTCACAGTATTTCCTGCCTAACTCACACGGTCCATCGCGTTAAATGGAACTTGAAAACTATTAACTCCCACATTTGTATCCCTAATCCTACTCATTCTCCTGAATGCCAGGTTCTTAGGGCTAACTACTTACTAGAGATCTCCATGTGGAGAGCAAACTCAACTTATCGAAAGCAGGACTCTTGATGTCCACCCAAGACCCCCAACGTTCTCTTCCCACAGCTTTCCTGGTATCAATTACTGGACTCTCCAACTGACCAGACAAAAGGAGAGAAGTTGTCCTCAATCCTTTTCCCTTTGCTTTTAGGTGAAATCCGTTAGCAAATTCTGTTTTCTAAATATCCAAAACATATACCATGTGTACCCTCTTATTGCCTCCTTTTTTAATGGGTTAATTCAAAACAGTTATTTCTTTTCTAAGCTCCATATCAATCCCATTTCCACTTGCTCTATCATAATCTGTTATCCAGACAGCAGCCAAAATGATCTCTTAACAGTCTTCAACATATATCAGATCATATTACTCCCTTGCTTCAATCCACCAATCATTTGAAATCAGTCCACAAAAAAAGTACAAAATCCTTACTGTATAATCGAGCCTCTGCCTTCCTCTATAGCCATGTCTGACTACCCACTGCAACATGAGATTCATAAATGTGCTCGTTTTGATTATCTGTTTGCTTGTTGGCCACGGTCAATTTGATAAGCCGTTCTTAAATACATGATGAGTCGTCATGGAATGAATAAGTGGCTGTGTTGTCATGTAGGTTCTTAATGTCATCATTTTCTTCTTTAAATGTATTTAATATATCAAGCATACGAAGTACATATGCCTTTAAAAATTAGTAAATGTATCTCCCACCATTCTTGAAACTCTTCGTGGTGACTACCATCCATACACTGCTAATCTCTGTGGGTTCACTGGCATCATCACAATAATTCAGATTATCACACAATGTAGGTGGAGAGCAAGGTTTTGTGAAAACGATTGTTTGGCCAACACACCATGGCAGTGAGTACAAAGATTATGGAGTCAGCTGGTATTTTTGACTGCCTTAGAGTAGGTGGAAGCCAATAAGAATTGAAAGTATGGTTTTCCACTCAGGACCCAGATGTAAAATTAGAAAGTCTTGGAGGCAGCTTAAGTTGTTGGTTATCTCCTGAAATCACAGAGCACATACAGTTGAGGGCCAAGCTTACTACTAAGTGGGACCCTGAGAAACTGGGGACATTTGGACAAAGAAGACAAAACTGAGAATTTTGAACCCCAAAACTCCCCTGACCCCCTCACTGGAGGCAGACTTTCAACATTCTCAATCCAATGAAGATATCAATGACAACTGTGGTTCTGGAGAGGTTACATTTATAGACCCAAATAAGTAGAACTTCTGGCACCTGATTTTAGCTCTGGATCTAACAAGATGGTTTTACCTGTCCCCATCAGCAAAGATAATCAGAAGCTGCTTGCTCTTACATGCAGGGATAGCAGTACACCTAAGAGCACTCAGGGCTCTGTCAGCTCTCTTGTTCTCTGCCATAATAGGGTCTGGAGAGTCCTTGATCATCTCGATGTCCTACAGAGTAGTGTGCTGACACAGTGTAATTAAGACACTATAGGAACTGGACCCAATGAACATGGGAGTATGCAAGTAAGCTAAAGGCATGCTAGAGGGTGGGAGATAAACAACAACAAGATTAGGGGCCTGTTGTATCAGTTTAGTTTCTAGGGGTCTGGTGGTCTGCAGTATGTTGGAAAATTGCCTTTAAATGAGATAGACTGCTTGCCTCATCAAATATCACAACGAAAGCAGCACAATGATTTCAGAGTCCACGCAGACTACATTGTGTCATGTTCTTGAACCCAAAGAGTAGGACCTGGAGCAAGATAACGTGAACAGCACGTTCAGACACTGGTGCTACTTGGCTTTGTGTTTCAGCAGACCAGTATCAGAAATATCTGGCGGTAGTTCGTGGAACTGCATGGAGCCTCGAGCAGACAAGCCAGCAACAGGAGAATATTCCATCAACAAGTCTCCATTTGGAAAGCAATGTCTGGCTGGCTGCCAAGCCCTGGTAGAAACTGAATGCCTGACCAAGGCAACTTTCCACCATGAACGGGGTGGAAATCACTATTATTATCCGTTATTATAAAACTGGATTGCACAGCAGCCTTCCATTGTAAAATCGAAATGGAATATACAAGACTGAACCCAAGCAAGTCCTCAAAAGGCACCAACACACTGTTCAAAGTGGAGACTCGTCCTCCTGTGTTTCCTGCTCCCACTGCTTTGCCATATGGCCTTTGCTCTGCACTCGGGCACATAGGGGTTCCTTCTCACCAGATAGATAATAGAAGAGATAAAAACTCAGGCCTGCTTCACAGATGGATCTGCATAGCATGCTAGCACCAACTAGAAGTCAGGAGCCACTAGCATACAGCCCTCCATACAGGAGGTCTTGAAAGACACTGGTAAAGGAGGATCCATCTGGAGGGCCCAAGGTCAAGTTATAAATCTGATTGTTGACTTCCTTTAGCAGGAGGGATGACCTAAGATAAAGATCTACACTAATTCAAGGTGATTGACTAATAAGTTGGCTGGTTGTTTGGAGACTTAGAAAAAATAAGGGTGAAAATTGATGATCAGGAGGACAGGAGAGAGGTATATGGATGGATTTCTCAGGCTGGAAAGAAAGTTTGGAGTTATTTATATCCCCATAAATGCCAACCGAAGTTATCTGCTTCAGCGGTGGGCCTAGGAATTAGGTGCACAGGGCATACCGGCCTGTGGTTGTGGTCTCTTTCTCCAGCCACCTTGTTCTTAGGGACTAAGAGTGATTACAGCTACCAATTGTCATGAACCCCAAGCTTCTGCATCCTCCTCTTGGTTTCCATAAACCCTGATCTCACCAAAACATACAGGTGGGCAAGGCATTGATTATCCTGGTCACAACTTTTTAAACATTCCTCCATGATCCAGTTTCAATGTGCCATCTGTTTTTTACAGGAACCCAACTGCTATAAAATGTAAGGAAATTTTTAAAAATCCTTTCTGCTACTTAGTCTTTGGAGATGTGGGCAAGTTACATAAAATCTCCAAATCTTGGGTCCCTCTTTGGAAAATGAAGAAAGATGTCCTGACAGTGTTACGTGGAGTTAAATGTTGAATGATACATAGCTAATATTCAGAAGGTGACGGCAGTTATTATTTTTGGTCTTAATGAATGGAATAAAGTCTTACTGCAATTTTGCCAGGGTACGTGCTTATGTAGTGTAACGTTGGGAAATCCCCACCACTAATTAATAGCAATAATTGCCAACACTTACAAAAATGCTTTCTGAGCATCAAGCACTCTTGTAATCATCTTGTAGACCTTATCTCAATGACTCTTCATAGCAAATGCATGAGGAAGGTGCTATTGGGACCCCATTTTTAAAAAAGGATCAATTCATTTATGCTTACAGAACTGGGGTACAGGCCAGAGGTGTGGTGGGTGAGAGGATTCACCAGAGACAGAGTGGGGAGCAGAACAGGCAGATCGACTGAAAAACACTGCTGAGGGGAGCAGCAGGCAGGTCAGGAGAGGTCTGCCGTACCATGTGGGTCCGCTCCCTGGCTGGGCCTTAAACTCGTGCTGCAGTGGCTTCTGAGAGCTTCATAGTGTGGTGCTTTAATCCATTGTGCCACCAGGGAGAGCCCAGGACCCCATTTTACACAGGAGGTTAAGTAACTTGCTCAAAGGATACTCTTTGTAATTAGCAGAGCTGGATTGAAATCCAAATCTGACTCAAGCGCAGGGATCCACACTTTGTTATGCTGCCTTCACACCACTTCAAAAACTTGGACAAAATTTGGACACCCATTGACCAATCCACCGATAAACATGTATTTACCATATCACACTGTATCTACACACCTGCCCAGATTTGCTCTGCCAAAACCACCTCCCCGGATGTCACCCACTACAGCCCCCAATTTCTTCAGCCTTGACTGCAGGCCAGGTTCTGGCCTCCAGTGTCCTGGGGCCTGATGAAAGCAGAACCACTGATGCTGTAGTTTCACCCCTCCCTCACCCGCACCCCCGACTCAGAAGGACTAGGTAGGAAGTTTGCAGTGCAGCTTCCCGGGCAACTGTACAGAAATGCAGGGGGGCAGCATCACATAGTGACTGACCGCAGAAGGCGGTGGGCCAGGAAGAAATCAGCAGATACACTCTTCCTTCCTCCTTCCACAGACGGTACCCAAGGAGCAGATCCGGCGCAGCCTGTGTGGAGGTATGTCTCATCACCAAACAATCAGCTCCTTTTTCTCTGTCTGGCCAGCTTCATGTTTCGCCTTGGGTCTGCTGTCTCTGCTTCCTTGCCTTTCTTCTCCTTGTCCCTCATTCTTGCTGCCCAGGGATTGTAGATCCGGTCAATGAGTCGTCCAGGTTTGTGGGGATTCCCAAGATAAGAGACAACCAATGCTAAAAACCTGGACGACCCCAGACAAACCCCGCTCTGAATAAAAGACTCGGATTTACACTTTGACTGGGGCTCTGTTGGCTATGACAACTGGGGTCAATGCCAGTGGATTAGGGGGAGAGTCATGAGGTAAGTGGAGAAGAATTGATTGTCACCACTCTCCCCTGACTTGGTGCTCAACCCCTGGCAAGGACACCTGAAACCCGACACCTGTCTTTATGCTTGCTGGGAAGGCTCTGAGGAGCTTGGGCAGGTTGGTCTGCCCAGAGATCAGAACAGAGGTCACCTCTTCTCAGTGGTCACAGGGGAGGAAAGGGGAATGCAGGACTAGGGTACCATGTGAGATGGAAGAACCAACCGAGGCTCCCGACTTCTCTGGAGGGGTCCGTAGGACACCTCCTTCCTCATGGATAAGAGTGCCCTGAGGAGGAGGGCAGCGTGAGCTGGGAGCACCTGGGCACAGCTGTCCCGGATGTGGAAGAGGAGACAATATAGGATGTCAGTACCAAAGCAGATGAGGCATCAAGCTCCCTCCCTTGCACTCTGGTTTCTGCCAGCGTAGGGCACCCGCAGGAGAGCAGAGAACTCTGGTTGTGTCCCTCCCTGCGGGACCACCTCCTGCTGCCTTGTTGGAGGTCACAGCTCCCCTAGGCCGGCCCTCCCCACACAGCCCTGTGCCTCTTGGCTGAGATCCCGCGCCTGCTCGTTCCCAAGAGGCCCCTGTGACTAGTTCGAGTGCCTCTGGGTTTCCCAGTAGCTGCTTCACGTTTGCAAATAGTCCCTTTATTAAACAACACTCCTCACATTGCTTAATTGCACTGTACCATCTGTTGCCTGCCCCTATAACTTGGAATACATTCGGAAATTCTTCCCAGAAAGCGTGGGGTGGGGAGCTGGGTACTTAGGGGACAAGGACAGGAGGAAAACCTTGCAGGGTAGACTTCTGAATTTAGAACCATGTAAGCACACCACTTATTGAAAAGAATATGTCATGCTCCTGTAAGCTTTTTATTGCAATGTTAAATCGGTAGGAGGCAAAGCGGAGACAACGTGGCCGTTTCAATTACACGCCTTAAAATTGTGACACAATTCAGAGAGGGAGGGGTGAAGGGGGCAGTGGAGCACGATGGGTTGTGGCAAAGGACTATGGGTGGGGAGCGCATCACGGTGCCCCTTGGAGTGAGGGCAGGAGACAAGAGCATTTTGCAATGGTCTCATTGTGCCAGGGCGTTCCCCAGGAAAAAGGGAACCTGGAACTTCCCCTTTTCCTGGGGACCACCCTGTTACATGATGAGCCCTAGTCTGAGCAGGTCCTGTGTCTCTGAATCTCAGAGTTGTGATCCCCGCCCCCCATGCTAGTTTTAGCCTACCACACATTTTTTAACATTTCCTTGAGGTAGAGCTTTTCCTGCTATATTTCTTGGACACAGTTTTTTTTTTTTTTTTCACCAGTGCCCTAAGAGAACAGTTTTCTGTTGCTCTTACCTTCCTACATCTAGGCTAGCGTTCCCTAGGGGAAGTAGGAATGATGGGTTTGAACAGAGTTTCTACACCAGCCAGATGCATGATGGAAACTTTATCAGGATTTTCTCGGATCTTTCCAATGAATGCCCAGTGGGGCTCAGAGGGAAAAACCCTCCAAGAGGATGAAGTCTTTACATAGGGCCTTGAGCAATTCATTAAAAACAGTTTGGTGAATCCCCTTAACCAGTGCCTCTGTTGCAAACAAGCAAGTGCCCAGTTCCTGAGGAAACTAGCTTCTCTCAGATTTGGGGGTTGTCTAATTGCCTCACTTCTCTGATTTATTCGAGAATAATCATCAATTCTCAGTTTGAACAGATCTTCCATGTTGTATGGTTAGGGGAGATTTGTCCCAGCTCTCTACTAAGCTAAAACCATAAGTCCCTATTAGAGAGTTTTAAGCAGTGTAGTAAAAGAATTGGATTTACTTTAAAAGCTCACTATGGCTATTATATGGAGAATGAACTCTAGAAATCTGGGAAGAGCACAAGTGGAAAAGTCGGGAAACCAGAGAGGAAGCTAACAATAGAAAGAGCAAGGGTAAGTATTTCAGGACGTTGTTGATGCAGAGAAGAAAAGATC